ATCCCTCTAGACTTTATCCTAGCTCCCCTGCCTCCAGTCCCTCACTCCCCACCCCCAACGCCCACACATTCTTTATTTAACAGCTTGACCATTATAGTTAAGTCCAATTTCCCTGGGCTTATGATACTAGTGCCAACTTAGAATAGTGCAATATATCAAACCAGGCAGCCATGATGTTCATTACAGGTTCATTACATGATCAAGCCAATTTCAATCTAGGGTTTCTACATTGAAACCCTACAATTTCAATGTAGGGTTAGGTCAGTAACTTGAAATCATCGATGTCCATGCTGGTCTGTGCCCAGAAATAATGACTTTGATAGTGGGAGGAAGAAGATGAATTTTCCAAACAGCTCCCACAATTCTATCCTAAGGACTCTGAGAATAGCTGATTGCACATGAGGTTACTTTCTAAGTGGAGTGGCTCCAGAAATTAACTTACGTTACTGGATGTTGAAAGATATTCATCCTGACTTTCTCACTAAATAAATATTTGGGCTAAGGATAAGCCAAAGTTGTGCTGGACATTAACAAGTCTTTTGACTTGGTGAGCAGTGTGGTGCCACACTTACTGGCAGTTGAATTGAAATAAAGTTGAATTGAACTAAAAGCATCTTACTTTCTGTAACATCTTCAAGAAGGTGTTAACAGGCTAGACGCTCCCTTAGCACTCATCCTTACTGTTTTAAACATTACTCTTTGCACTTTTTGGTTCTGCTCTTAGGTAACAGAAATTGGAGGCAACTGGTAAGTCCTTGATTAGTGTCAGGCACCAATGGGATATACACTTTCTCTATAGGTCATGAACTCAAAAAGAGGGTGGTCTACTGTGGATGACCCCATTAGTTGCCTACCTAGATTTACTTCTTCAGCCCCTTCCTTGCTGGCAGAGCTATTTTGTTCAGGAGCTAATGGGCCCCAAACTAGCCCTTCCATTCTCCTTTCTAATTAGTGGCTTAATCATCATAATATTGTAATGTCTTTTTCTGATGATGGTGATGATGATGATGAAGGCTAACACTTTCTAAGTGTTTACTCTGTGCTAGGTACTTTTTAAAGAACTTTGAAAGGTATCAACTCATTTCGATACAGGAGTTAAGAAGAAATTGCTTAGGCAGATAGTGAGGGTATGGGAGTCCTCAGTAAGGTTTTCCTTTTAATAAAAACAGCCCCCAATCATTTTCTTTTCTAACAAAGAGCAGCCTGTAAAATCGAGCTGCAGACACAGACAAGCAAACTAGGAGCTTGCACAGGTGAATTCCGGCAGTTGTGCCCATGGGAATATACTAGCCGGGATGAGGCATGTTCAAAGTGGCAGCACCATCTTCTCTTTTTGCCAGCCACATGTACAGTAAGAAGCAGACTAGATGGCACTGCCCAAGTGGAAAGCCCATTTGTATAATAAGATTAGGGTTGGGAGACCAGCCTTCCCCACGTCACACCTGGTCAAACCAATCTGTGAGTCCTACATAATTCAGACACTGCCTCCTCAAGCCTGCTTATAAAATCTGCTGTGGTCCGCCCTTGCCCCCTTTTTCAGACGTCTTACAAGGAGCTGCTCTCCTCTCCCCTTTCTTCTGCCTATTAAGCTCCTTAACCCACCCACGTGTCCCTTTCCTTAATCCTCTTGGCGGGAGATGCCGAACCCTGGATATTTACCCCAGACGGTGATGCCATTTCAGTTTCATTCTTGTAAACCAAAAGAGATAATTCTCAATCAATCTAGAAAGTTTATTTTGCCAAGGTTAAGGACACACCCTGACATAGCCTCAGGAGATCCTGCTGACATGTGCCCAAGGTGGTTGGCTTTTATACATTTTAGGGAGACATGAGACATCAATCAATATGTGTAAGATGTACATTGGTTCACTTCGGTAAAGCGAGACAACTTGAGGGAGAGCTTCCAAATCCTAAATAGATAAGAGACAAAAGCTTGCATTCTTTTGAGTCCTTGATCAGCCCTCCACTGAATACAAAATTTAGTCTGGCTCAGTGAATTTGCATTTTTACATGAACAATAGGGCAGAGAAAGCAATCAGATATGCTCTTGTCTCAGGCGATCCTCAGAGGGATGACATCGAGCTGCGTCTCTCCTTCGTCCATAAGGAATTTCCTTGTGGGCAAATTGTGAGGGAGGTATGTAGCTTTTTATCTTTGTAGCTATCTTATTTAGGAAAAAAAATGGGAGGTAGATTACCCAACATAGTTCCCAGCTTGTCTTTTCCCTCGGCTTAGTGATTTGGGGGTCCTGAGATTTATTTTCCTTTCACATTCTCATAATAAAGCCATGAGGAAGGTACCATTATTAAACCAAAGCCCAGAGAGACTAACTTGCCTAAAGTCACACAGCTAGAAAGCAGCAGCTGAATCCCCATAGTTTGATTCTAGAGCTTCCCTCTTAACCACTATGTCTTGTAAGCCAGTGAGACAAGAAGTCTGCTGGAGGAACATCTGGGACACTTTAGAGATGAGTTCTTTTTCTTTGGAATGTTGTCATCTGCATATGATATTTGGAACTGCTGCCGGTATCTTGTGTCTATAATAGGAGTCACGGCTGAGTATATTGGAGTAAAAAGATGGAAGCTGCTAAACATTTTGAAGACATCATTGGGCAAGGTTGAATTAACTAACCTTGGAACTCCTTTACCTCTGGAATTGTTTTTCGTGTGACACGATGAACTCAGTATCCTTTAATCTACTTGTTAGATCCCCTGTTACTTGTTGTGAAAAGCACTCTCACTGATACACATAGAAACAAGCATAATTCGGACCTAAGACAAATAGAAATGAGCATAATTCTGTTTTTTTTTTTGTTGTTGTTGTTGTTTTTTTTTTGAGACGGAGTCTCGCTGTGTCACCCAGGCTGGAGTGCAGTGGCCGGATCTCAGCTCACTGCAAGCTCCGCCTCCCGGGTTTACGCCATTCTCCGGCCTCAGCCTCCCAGTAGCTGGGACTACAGGCGCCCGCCACCTCGCCCGGCTAGTTTTTTGTATTTTTTAGTAGAGACGGGGTTTCACCATGTTAGCCAGGATGGTCTCGATCTCCTGACCTCGTGATCCACCCGCCTCGGCCTCCCAAAGTGCTGGGATTACAGGCTTGAGCCACCGCGCCCGGCCGAAATGAGCATAATTCTAACCCTTTTAGGTAGGCACAATATTTGCACTATAAGCAAGATTTTCATTCAGCCAACAAATATTTACTGAATGCCTTCCATTTGCCAGGTATAGTGCAAGTTGCTGAACCAAACAATATGGGAAGGGCAGGTTTCTCCATCCATGGAGGTTATAATCTGGTCATAAATGTAGTGAAAGTGCGGGCAGGCATATTTTGGGACGGTATCTTGAGGACTAATCTGGATTGGGAGTCAGAGAAGGCCCTAATAAAATCCAGTAAAAGCATCCATTACAGATTCAAAAAGAATCCATATAATGTCTGTATCATCCATCAAGTATTTGTGATATGTTTTGGTTTTAGCTGTATAAGAGCAGTAAGAACTATTATGTGCACAATAGTGTTAGATGTATAAGTATTATTATTATTATTATTTTGAGACGGAGTCTCGCTCCGTCGCCCAGGCCGGAGTGCAGTGGCACTATCTCAGCTCACTGCAAGCTCTGCCTCCTGGGTTCACGCCATTCTCTGGCCTTAGCCTCCCGAGTAGCTGGGACTACATGTGCCCGCCACCACGACCGGCTAATTTCTTGTATTTTCAGTAGAGACGGGGTTTCACTCTGTTAGCCAGGATGGTTTACGATCTCCTGACCTCGTGATCCGCCCGCCTTGGCCTCCCAAAGTGCCGGCATTACAGGCGTGAGCCACGCGCCCGGCCAGGTGTATAAGTATTTAGGTAACTTTATAACAAAATACACTTACTTTAAGAGCCAGACTGTCTTTCCCTTTTAAAGGGAAATACTGAAGCTGATTTAGGAGAGGCAAACTAACATAAAATATAAGGCAAATGAGTGGGAACTAAGGCATTTGGTATCTATTTCTAGCTCACTGGGCAGCAGTCCTCCGTGTCTTGAATTCTATAATTTGCGAAATATGATTCATAGGGGTTGCAATGGAATATTTCTGAGTTTTTAGACTAATGAGGGATAAATTTTAAAAATCCCTGTGCTACTGTGAATGTTCCAGAAACTATTCACAAGTTTATTATAGCAAAGAAAATGGGCAAAAGAAAGGGGGTGGGTACAGGACTTGACACTCCAGAGAAGAAGGCAGTGACGTAAAAAATCAAGAGGTAGTCCACACCAGGAAATAGTGCTGTGCACATTAGAGCTGTTACTGAGTAAATACTTGTTGGAATTTCCAGAGATAACCAAACAAACATGAAGAAGGAAGTGGGTTTTTTTTTTTTTTCAGCTTTATTATGGAAAATATCTAATGTGTACAAAAGTACCGAGAATAGTAAATAATAACGTCCATACGGCTTCTATGGCCGTACTCACGGCCAACTTGCTTTATTTTTCACCTCCCACTCCTCACTATTCTCAAGCAAATTCCAGACATCATACCATTTCACCCCTAAATATGTCGCACATATCTCTAATGCAAAAGAATGGGAACCAAGACATTTGGTGTCTATGGCTAGCACACTGGGTAGCAGCCTTCTGTGTTCTGAATTTATAACATGTAGAACAAGATTTATAGTTGGTTGCAACCCGAATTTATTTTTAAGTAACAGCAATATAAGAGGAGGTGGCTAAACCTCACAAGGCTCTCCACGGGGGAAGCTCACCCCTATAAATCCAGGCGGGCGCTTCGTTACCCAGGAGCCCAGGGCGCAGCTCCGGCACACTTCCTTTCAAGGCCGGGACCCCTGCGGCAGCCCGTGGGACACCGCCCTTTCTGAGCACGGGCTGGTCCCCGCCCCTCCCCCGGGAAGTCTCCGCCCACAGGGCCCCAGCAGCCCCCGCGCGCCCTCGCTCCCTCCCGTCGGCCACCGCCCCTCGGCGTAGGGAGCGGCGTGCCGCCCGGGACGCCTAGGCCTGGGGTCGGGAACGCGCACGCTGTGCGTCCTGGGCTCGCTCGGGATTCTCGCCTGGCGCGGCCGGGGAAAGGTGAACAGTGTGGCCCGCCATGTTCTTCTCCGCGGCGCTCCGGGCCAGGGCGGCTGGCCTCACCGCCCACTGGGTAAGGAGGCTCGAGCTGAGCCCGGCGCTGCTGCCGCCCTTCTCTTGCTCTCTGTGTCTCCCTTAGTTTTGGGCGCAGGAGAGCCCTGGGCTCTGCACGGGCCTGCAGGCGGCAGCAAGGACACTGCGGCCTTCGCCCTCTTAGGGAGGCCGCTGCAGCCCCACCGTGAGTGAGAAGCCTCGAGGGAGGGCTGCCAGACTGGAAAGTGTACTCCTAGTTTGGTCGAGGAGGACAGAAAAGAGGGGCTGCTTGGTGATGTGTTTTTGTTTTGTTTTGTTTTGTTTTTTTGCTATTTCGCTGTAGCGCAGAATCTAGGCCTGCCCTGGCCAGATCAGTTTCGAAGACCCCCGCCCCGAAGGAGGCACCTCGCATTTCAAGCCTAGTGACCTGGATGCTGTTAGGTTGCAGCATACTGGAGAGCTCTGGCTTGCTTCGTGAAGGCTTACGGAGAACTTCCTTAGGGCTGGAAAAGGGTGACCAATGTTTGATTTACTGCAGTTGTGCTTTGCATATCGGAAATGCTGGGTAAATAAATGGTATCAAACTAACTCTGAAAGAACGGCGCCGCAAATAACTGCACCCAGTTAAAGAACCACAGGATTTTAGAGGTTATATGGTCTGTTTGAGATCCAAGTACATCTCATTGTAGGCAAGGAAATTGAATTGCAGAGAAGTTGAAACACTCCTTCATGTTAATCTAAAAATGCAGATTCCAGAAATGTCGATTATAACAACAGGGCCTGTTACACAAGTAATACTGGAAAGAAGCCTTAGTTTTGTTTGTTTTCTAGGAGTAAAATAGGTTAAGTCATTTCTCAGCAAGAGGGAGATAGTGTATGTTCGTTGAGAACGAATTCAGGGTTTTAGAGTTAGACTCGAGTTTGGATGGTAGCTTAACTGCCTTTTGTGGCTCTATGACTTTGTCCTATTAATCTTCCTTAGTTTCTTCAGTTGTAAAATGGGAATATTCCTTTTTGCAGAGTTCAGTCTTTCAGTAAACATTTGAAGTCTTACTGTAGGTCATGCACTGCTGAGCTCTAGGTAACAGTGTGGATAATAATGATAGTCATTTGATAACTGTTTTCTGTATGCCAAGCACTGAGTTAAATGTCTACATTCCCATTTTTGAGGTTGGTATTACTTTTTCCTCATGTTACAGATAAGGAAAAGACTTAGTTCCCGTTCTTTTGGAATTGATAGTCTCACGTAAGAGGAACTTTAAGATAAATATGAGACAGTGTAAAAGCACAGTATTAGAGATGTGAATAGGGTCATCCAATGTGGTTTCAAGGTGCATAAGATTTTTCCTGAAGGTAGTACTAACAGATTGGGCATGGGGTCAGAGGGTATTCTAGGTGGAAAGGACAACTTTAAAAAAGCCTTGTTGGCAAGAAAAAGATCGGTATGTATGAGAAGCCACCTCTCCTGTTGGAGGTAAGGTGTGTTCCCAAATGAAATAAGGGAGAGACAGGGGCCAGATATTGGAGCTCCTTGCGTGCCATACTAAAGAATTTGATTTTATCTTAGAGGCAGTAAGGAGTCAGTGAAAGGTTTTAGAGTACAGAAATAAGATCTGGTTTCTGTTTTGGTTGGGTCACTGGATAGGACTGAGGGTGGAATGGGTTTGATTTGGACCCAGAAACTGGGAGACTAAGTAGATAAGAGGCTCTTGCAGAATGCTAGGTGAAAGATGATGAGCGTCAGACATGGTAGAAAGAATAGAAATAAGAGTGCCTGTAGATTTTCTTTTGTTTTTGAGGCAAAGGGGCTAGAAGTATAAATTGAAAAGCAGTTTTAACAATGAAAAAGAGCAACTTGAGGTAGTGGAGGACCATTTTAATCAGGTTTAATGTTTCTACAACTCTCCCTCTCCCTCTCTCCCTCTCTCCCTCTGTCCCTCTGTCCCTCTGTCTCCCTCCCGCTCCGCCTCTCCGTCCCCGCTTTTTTTAAACAAATAGTACCTGATATGCAGTATGTACACAATAAATATTTGAGTTGATGAATAAGTTTAATTTTTATTACACATGTAATACGTTATAGGAAAAACAGTATTGAGATTAGCACATAGAATAAGCTCAAAAAATAAAAACCATCCATTGTCTTGTCAACCTGGAAATTACCATTGTTAACATTTTGATGTCTACACTTAACAGACCTTACAGATAATTAGTTTTTACAAAAATGGGAAGATATTATTTATACTGTTTGGTAGCCTGCTTTTTTGTAATGTATTCTGATCAGCTTTCCTTATCAGTAGACATTTCTATACTGTCATTTTAATGCTACATAGCATTCCATTGTGAGGCTGTTCTATTGCTTATATAACCAGGCCCTTCTAACCTTTCACAAGTAGTGGGATTTCACATTAAACCGAGCAAGTATCAAGAAAAGTACAAGAAAAATCTACCTAAGTTCCTTTCCTAAATGAGAAACCTCTATTATTATTTTTTATTATTGATTTATTATTTTCTTTATTTAAACGGAGTCTGGCTCGTAACCCTGGCTGGAGTGCAGTGGCGCGATCTCGGCTCACTGCAAGCTGCGCCTCCCGGGTTCACACCATTCTCCTGCCTCAGCCTCCCGAGAAGCTGGGACTACAGGCGCCCACCACCATGCCCGGCTGATTTTTTGTATTTTTATAGAGACGGAGTTTCACCGTGTTAGCCAGGATGGTCTCGATCTCCTGACCTGGTGATCCGCCCACCTCGGCCTCCCAAAGTGCTGGGATTAGAGGCGTGAGCCACCGCGCCCGGCCTAAATGAGAAACTTTTAATGATTATGCTTTCAAATAAATTGCCTATTCTAATTTCTGCTTTGCTAGCTGCCATTCTCTTGAAGAGGCTTTTCAGCTCATTGTTGCTTAAAATATGGCCAGAATTAAGTACTAGTTTGTGTGACCTTGAGCCATCTCAATCTCTTTGAGCCTCATTTTTCTTTTCTGTAAAGTGAGATAATACCTCATAGGTGATTGTAGTAATTGACTAAAAGTTATAAATTATGGAGTAATAGATAATCAGAATAAGTTTATTCCCTTCTTCAGTAATTGCCCATGGTTTTTCTGTAATGTTGATGCCACTTTAGAACTTACCACTGCCTCATTCCCAAGCTGCTACTGTAGTTTTGAAGGTGAGAGGATTGTGGTGGCATTTTCAATTACAGATACTCCTTTACTTACAATGAGATTACATCCTGATTAAACCCACTGTAAATTGAAAGTATGTAAATTTCAATTTACAGTGGGGTTATCTGGACTTAATCGAGGAGCATGCTGAATATTCATCATGCTGTAAAGTTGGGAAATTGCACCACAGGCCATTGTGAGTCAGGGACCATCTGTATTGTGTATTTTTTCATTCATTGAGGATATTTTCCTTTATGCTGTCCTGAAGTTTCTAGTTGATTCTTTCTTCTTGAAAATGTGTTTTCCTTTTTTGTTTGTTTCCCATATGTTGAACAGTTTTGGATTGTATGCTGAATTTTGTGAATGATAATGTTGTAGAGGTTCTAGATCCTGTTTAATTCCTCCAAATAGTGTGTTTTGTTGTTGCTATCCATATCCCTTGTGGGCAGCAGATCAAATACTGGTTCTGTTCTTTTAGCTAGGTTCCTTGGAGTCTGCAGCATGTACATGCATGGTTCAGGGTTCAGCCAGAGATTCCTGTAGAATTTATATACCGAATGTATAGGACTTCCTCCCCCTTTCTGACTCTTCCTTTTCTGGGATTTCCCACTTTACCATGTCTGTTGTTGTTCTAAACTCTAAGTGAGGCCTGCCTTCTGGCTAAAAGATGTAAAGGAAAAATAAAAACCTCATTGGCTTTTTATGCATGTAGACTCCCCTTCTGTGTCTGGCTGTTTGGTTGTTCCCCAGTGCCTTCAGAAAGCTTTTGTTTTTATAAAATATTTTGTCCAGAGTTTATAGTTATTATTCAGTGGTTTGCCCTGACAGTGTCTACTTAGCCATACTAGAAGTATGCCATCTTGTGTGGTGGCACTTTTCCTTCCAAATTTTAAGTTTTGTACAATGAAATGTTTTCCCCATTCCATTAGATATTTTTTTTTTAATACAAATTTTAACATTTTATTGATTTAGGGGCCAAACAAAGCAGCATTTGGTCAGTTAAGAAAGGCACCTCAGTGAAAATAATACATCACAGTGCTGTTGAGTGATCCCAGTCACAGGATTTAATAATGGAAAGGAAGGACAATCTTTGGATGACATAGCTTAGGACACTTGCTCATTTATTTAAAAGAGTCCCTTCACACACTGCAGATAAAAGCAGCATAGGACTGTGGCATGTGCTGGGTAGCTGTGAGAGGTTACTCATGAGAGTAGGTAGCCTAGTAAATCAGTGGTAAGTCAGGGGAAGGGAATCAGCCTCCCTTTCCATTCCATTCCCTTCCCCCTCCCCTTGATTCCAGTATGCTTGATTTGTTGAGCCACCATCCCTGTGAATACACCTTACGTCTCTTTCAAATGTGGAGACGGTTTTTTGATCTTACAGTGTGTGGAACCAGGGTCAGTAATCAAAGCCTCCCTGTTGCAAGCTATAGACACACAGGACAACAATTTGATTTCCTGTACTCTTGGTCTGGAACCCATGGGGTTCTGAGATAAAAGTTGACGTCTTAGTGCACTGGCGTTAAAAAATACTTTCACCAGTCCAGAGTAAATGAAAACCCGATTCCTTAGAAACAATACTGTATCTCTCTATTTCTACCCCCACCCTCCAAGCATGGTATTTTTTAAAAAATTAATTTTTCCCTTACACTTTAAAAACTCCCACCTATGTATAAAAGAAACTGCCACACTACAATAACACTGCTGTTGTTCCCAGTATTCCTCTGAGCCCCTCACCAGCCCTCCCTCACCATCCTCACCCTGGCCACCCTTCCCTTCTGCCCAGCACCTACGAGCAGGGATCACGCCGCGGGGTGATGAGCAGTGGTGTAGTCTCGCCTGGCCGTCTGATACTAGGATGTGGCTTTGGAGAAGGCTGCTAGGATGCTTGCGAACACGACATCAGGGGTCTGGGATGCATCGATAGCAGAGTGGATCCCCTGTTTCCTGTAGTACTCTATGAGTGGGGTGGTTTGAGTGTGGTAGGCTTGCAGGCGGATTTTCAAGGCCTTCTCATTGTCATCTGATCGACGAATCAAGGGTTCCCCAGTGATGCAATCTTTCATGGGCTCTTTTGGAGGGTTGAACTCCTCATGGTAGGAACGGCCACTCTTGGGGTGAATCAGCCGAGTCTGGGATGCTGAATTCAATCACAGAATCAAGCTTCTCTTTCCGCGTCTCCATGAGGTTATCGAGCATTTCTGCCTGCCTCACAGTCCCAGGGAAGCCATCCAGAAGAAAACCATTTTTGTACAAGGGGGTCTCCAAATTCTTCTCAATGAGTTCCACTACCATTTCATCACTCACCAGTTTCCCACCATCCATAGTTGCCTTCAGCTTTATTCCTAGCTCTGAGCCAGAAGCCGCCATGGCCCTCAGCATGTCCCCAGTAGCCATATGGCAG